TCTCCCCCACCCATAGCTAACATTAACCTAGTAACATTATCCCAAACAATAACAGTAATAACTAACGAAAAGTGAACAGATCTTGATTCAAGACCTGAGAGTCGACTGCATACTTTACCAGATGCTGGTGAAAGGACGACTGATAATTCCCTTACTTACTTACTTAGGTTGGAGATTTTATATGCGCTTTCTGACTGCAAGCGAATGTCGCACACAGGCCCGTCAGACCATTTAGTGTAGTTTGCGAAAGTGGAAGAAAGGGGGAAGTGCAACCCAGGAGGGAGGTTTAGGTGTTGCTTATATTATAATTTTGAGTTTTTGAGATTTGGAATGGATGCCAATGTGGGAAGTGAACTAAGGGAGCTGTGTGTGGTGGATGGTTGTTGGATTATGTAGTTTTTATTTGACATGTGTATTTGGAGTTTAGATGTGGTTAATTAGTCCTGTTTTAATTAGATATATAAGTTTTGTGAGTTATTTAGTGGGTTAAGGATTGACTCTAGAGTCAGTCTGGCATTTAGGTTTAGAGTGGTTTGTTGTGTTGCTCTGTGTATTTGGTAGTGTGTGCAGTGGATGAGTGCGTGTTCTGGGGTTTCTTGTTGGGTGCAGTGTGGGCATGTTCCTGTTGTGTGTAGTTTAGCTATTTTCCGGTGATTGTTTAATTTAGTATGGCCTGTCCCAAGGTAGTCTTATATAGCCCACACGCAGACCCAAGCTCCTCACAGTGATATCCCGTTCGCGGAGCTCTCTATACTACCGCTGCCACCAGTCAAAACTCCCCCAAGTGATAGATGACCACAACCATGCTTGGAGTTGAACTCGCAGCCGATTGACCGTTATGTTTACAAACAAGTGATGACTGTCGTTACGCCAAATACACTTATCCCTGCTTATTTACTTTCTTTGTTTATCACTTTAAATTTTTATTTCATTACATCTATCATGTAATTGATAAAGTAAGAATGTAAGAGAGAAGTTGGTTGATTTTCCGTTAGTTAGCAATCTCGAACCAATCTGATTATACAAACAACAAAGTAAATTCATCTGGAAAACATGGTCAGTCGTAAACCTTTTCAAAATGAACTATGATGGCATTCCCAAACACATAATCAAAAGTATGAACGAGACTACATTTGGGGTTAGAGGGCAAATTCCAAGATTCTTGTAATGGCTGCACCCACACTGGTGGCAGCAATGTTACCGAGAGTGTAAAGAAGGTGTCACCCGCTGGGAAGGAGCTTGGCGCAGACCATGTGCCCGGGAAAATGGCCACAACCAATGAACATGCTCCTTACATCTCGGCTCTCTCAATCATAGCTGCCGGCTAGCCGAGCATGCAAGTAGTGTGACATTGTCATGTCTCCCTTGATACTAATGCCCGCGTGAGCATAAGTTACTACAACAAGGATTACATAGATAGGTACTACATCAACCACCCAAAATGCACTTAAACTAACCCACCCATCGAAATATTTCAATTTACCCACCAAAATCCAGAGTAAACCACACAACTTTGAGAAGGTTGCAACAAATTTGAAATGGTTTCAAGTGCAATGGGTAATGCTTAGGCAAAGTGTTTGGATGGACAGAGTTTTCTTAGAGGATATTGCAAGAGTTACTGGTGAACCTCTTCATTTCGTTGATCTGGAGTCACATCTGGTGTCAGGTTTGGTGAAAGTTGGTATCAAGAAACCCAGTTCAAAGCATTGACTTGCTTGCTGGTAATGACTTTAGTGGGGTCCAAGATTTGGGCTGATCTCCTTTCCCTAGGATTTGCTTCCTATGAATCGGCGATGTTTCTGGTCAAAGGAACAAGAGGTGTCTTCTGGACAGGTAGGTTTATCCTTCCACCTGAAGGTTTGAAAACAATCCTTACCGGATGGGACATAGTTCTTTGAAGTGGCGCCCATGAAGGTGTAACGATTTTAGCAGTTGCTTTGTCTTCGCAAGTGATCGGAAACCGAACGATCTACGACTAGCATTCTGACAGGATCGGGTGTCATCGGCCAAGAGTCGTAGACACTGATTGGCTAGGCTGAAGAGCAAAGAAAGCCAGTCCCTGATTGGATATACAAGCTGTCGTTTCTGCATAAAAATCACGCTTCATGACTTGGTAGGCGGCCATTGAGAAGGCAGGTTAGCGTGGCTGGAAGGTTACTGGAGAGGGGACATTTTGTCGCCCTTAGGGTGTGTTGGTGGCTTAAGGTAATATATTTAGTCATGGCTCACTTCTAGACATGTTATTGAAATGATGTAGGATGTAAATTGTCGCATTATTATTTTGTAACACTCGCTGTCATCTCGAGTAACTGTCGGGGAAATACTTGACCTATCATTCTATTTAACACGTGCTAGGTTAGATAGATCTTTTTCAACCTGCCATTCCTATATTATTGAGTCAGAGCAGTGTTTGTTATATCATAGCTTGTTTTTGTATGAGAATGTTATTTCAATAAACTATATGTAAATCTGCTCCGATGTTGTACTTTAGTTCCCTGAGTCAAGCTGCTTTGAGCAATGGATTCGGACAGCCCGTAATTAGGGTTTAATTCAAGAACCTATTTCTATTTATGTACGAGCGTTGAGGTCGTTCAGGACTCGCGCAACGTTACAAAGGCATGGTCCAAGGTCGACTCTCGTGGTCTTTTGGCTTGAAAGGTCAAGATATGCACCTTTACAGGCAGGATGATTGTGGAAAATTGAAATCGTTGTCATTCCGTCGGACACCCTCTATAATCTTATCGCTTTATCGCTGAAAAGACAAAGGGGAGTGACAGTGTGCACCATAATCAACTTCTGAGGTTCTTCTGAGACAGCTCCAGATCTCACTTGAGCGAACAGATGTTGATGCTCAACAAAATCAGGATATCCAAGCTTGCATGGATAGCAGGTCTTTTTGCATCTTGACAATAGCAACCAATAGGCTATGGGTGAGCCCAACTTGATCTGTCCTGGTAAAGACTGGGGAATCCCCAGCAATACCTTCATAGGAATCCAACAAAAGAGTATTTGGGTGCTTCAGCTTTGGAAAAAGTATTCGTTAATCACATTGGAGTTTTTTAAAGTTTTCCCAGGTTTGATTGAAACTTGTGACATATAACAAGGTTGGTTGGTTGGTTTGTTGTTTAACGCCACACTCAGCAATATTCCAGCTATGTGACGGTGGTCTGTAAATAATCGAGTCTGGACCAGACAATCCAGTGATTAATATCATGAGCATCGACCGACGCAATTGGGATCGATGACATGCATCAACCAAGTCAGCGAGCCTGACCACCCGTCCCGTTAGTCGCCTTTTACGACAAGCATAGTCGCCTTTTACGACAAGCATGGGTTGCTGAAGATCTATTCTACCCCGGATCTTCACGGGTCGACATATAACTAGGACAGGGAAGTGTCTTACACATGTGTGACGATGCAGAAGGGTTGTGACATCCAGCATATTCCAACATTTGAGGTGAAATGTCTTCCTCCACTTTAGGTCTCAGACCTCTCAGACAAAAAGGTCAGAAAACGAGTGACATGGCTAATAATCAACTGGTAGAGAACCATCAGAGTCAAACCTGCCACTAAGTGCAGAATCTGAATCTAACAAGCCAGTCTCGACACGAAGACTGTAACCCTTGAGTGACCTTCATTCATCATATCACTGTCGCCATGGTGATCTCCTTATGGCTTTTTATCCAACAGGTGCCAACTTGCAAGCAAGTATTTCTCCCAAGTATGAAAGTGCTGACTGGTATCTTGCATGCAGCAGTGGCTAACAGGATCCTCATGAGGTGGCTGACTGGCTGTCAAAAGCCCACCGACGGTGCTGGTGATGGTTTTCAGATACCAGTAGTTTCATGTGGGCACGCATTAGTTCCAAGTCCCAAGTCCCTAGCAGTAGGGGACTCCCGAAGCTGTTTCCTTTTACACATGCTGTCCATGCAGTATCCATGGGGATCCTGTACAATCGTTGGCTGACGTCAGCAAAGGAGTGGGAAGTAACAGTTCCTGAAGATTCCTGTCCGGGCTAATTTGGAACATCTATGCGGAACATGAAGACTGCTGTAAGTCGAGAGCAAGAGAGATTGTCACTGAGTGTACTGATGGGGACAGGCTCGAAACGACCACAGTCCAGCTCTTGTGACTCTTGTTTCAAGATCCCATCATAGACGTGTGGCCTCTTGGCCAGGGATGCTTCTGAGTATGTGCTTTCTTTAAGGACTCGACCTTGGCAAACAAGGCTTTGTGTCTACTGTCGGACATCTTCACCATGTCCTGCTTCTGTTTCATGAACTGTTCAAAGATGCTCATGGACAATGGGAGTGTCAGGTCTGGTAGAGTTGAGGCGTTTATTGGTAAGGCCATTTTCTTCACCGCTTACTTATGTCATGCTTTTTGCGAGGCCGCCATCATATTGTTGAAGTTTGACTGCGACAAAGAGGAGCACTGCTCATACCTTTTATCCTCCCCTCATGCCAGTTCCCTGCATCTCCAACAGTCATGAACTCACAACACGTCTACCTGTCTACTTACATCAATATTCTTTAGCAATACAAAATTTTTTTTTATGGATAATTACTTATAAATTTAAAAGCAACAAAAACTGAAGATATTACTCAGCCTATTAAATATGTGATAGATTTTTAGATGTTCTCTCTAGCACAAAGGAAAGAAGGGGGGTTTTCTTGCCTTGCACAAGCAGAATGTTTCTGAGAAGCAAGATGCTATTACTGGCACAACTAGTGACAGTGAAGAGAACTTATTTTGAAAATCAGTTCTCGCAAAAATTATTTGCCAAAGGTGTAATAGAGGTTTGTATCAGCAGAATTATATGTGTTGCAGAGTTATTACCCTTCTGTTGGGAGTGGATACTTTTTGGCATTGAACTTTTGATGTCAAAGAAAAATTCAGATTGATTCATGGCAGTTGTATTAAGACTGAAAAAGGAAGGCGAAAAAGATTCACCGGACTTAGAAAAGGATATAAAATCCTTTCTCAAGAGCTATACATACCCATGATATTGGTCAATGGCCTGTCTAACCTGTTCTTGATACTTATTCAGGTCAACAGCATTTGGGCTGACCAATCGTATCTCCTGTCTGCTGCGGTTTGAAACATGAGCCAAAGGAATTATCTGAAAATGAATAAAAACATTTTCTGACAAATGGTCAAGCTTCTTCCTGAGCTAATATCTCCTGTTCTTACCAAAACTTTGTCACTGTCATAAAATTTAATGAAAGGGTAGATATAAGTAACTTGACTGAATTTGAACCAGGTACATGACATGAGAACCTAGATACACAAGTCAACACCAGGTTGCCCTTATCTCTATCAATTTATCAAAATTGAAACGTATGAACTAGTCTGAATAAATAAAATCTCAAATCTCTGATGACTGTGTCATGATTTTTAATGCAGTTAGTTCTTACTAGCTGCTTACTTGTTACAGTAATTTTGTGGCAATATCATCAATGGGAACTGCATCAATTGGATTATCATTGGTTGGATAATCTAAAGATCATGACGTGACATGGTGATCAACTTCAGCGATAGATGAAGCTATAGTACAGTATATAGATACAGTACATAATCCATAATCCACAGTTTGATGACGTCAAACATGTAAAATTACACATAACACAGGGATAAGTATTGTAGTATGGTAAATAAATCTTATAGGTATTGAGTATGTTCAAAGTTTGATGTTGTTAAGGCAATGAAGGGTTGGTCAAGGCACAAATTTGAATTAACCATAATCACCAAACATGTGCAAGGCATTCACAATGGAGAAGGAGACAGTTTGTCACGGCTGAACTTGCAGTATGAATGGCAGCTGCATCCAAACTTACTCAAACTCATGAATCACATCAGGGGGCCTCACCACGTGGACAGGTCACTTCACACACATGTACATCAGTAGGTTCTTAGACCCGTTAACATCAGGCATAAATTGGTTAGCGCAACAGGATAGGGGTGAGCTAAACAATTTTGTGAGACCACCATTCAGGATGATTCCACAGATCCTGGACACACTTGAGACCCACGGAGGTCACCCTACACTAGTAGCACTGCTGTGGAAAAGTCAGCAATGGTTCAGAAAGCTGACAAATATGCTTGTGTTTCAACCATTCAAACTTTCCAATTCACAACAAAACTTCCCTGTGAGGAATGCAACGCCATGCAGAACCATGCAAGAACTTCCGATGGAAATTGTTTGCCTCAAGAATTTATGGCCACAGAGACTCTTGTTGGAGGGCTTTGTCAGTTCAGTGCAGAGCAGAGTTACCCCTCTGTCTGGCCAATAGTACATTAGAGTCATACAAGAGGCTGACAAATTGAATGTATTTTGTAAGAAAATTGGTGCCCCATTCTCTCACGTTCCATCAACTACTTTCAGGGAATTTCTCTGTGTTATTACAGATAAATCACAATGGCCTGCATAACAGATAAAGTCTGCCATAGCAGCATCAAAGTGTCTCTGTGAGACAATGAGGAAAGCTGACTTTGCCACTGATAATGACATCAGATATTTAAGTAATGAAATCTGGAACGTTGGTTGTGAGACCTAAATCTAACTTAATACATGAGCATAATTTTAAATGTTGTACATGACATGGCCTGAAAATGAGTACCTGATGGCAAAGGGTCTGTGTGAGAAAACACAATGAGAACAGCAATGTTCGCCATCAGATGTGGTGCCACATGGCATGTTGTTCAGTCTGAAAGGTGAAATGACGGACTTGTTGTTCAGGTACATATCAAGGAGGATGGATCGCTTGACCTTGATTTCAGTGATACAAACAATGACAGTGACAGGTTGGGGTTTCCAGTGACAATACAACCAACGTTGGTTGAGGCTGTGGTCCCTGTTATTTGTTCTTGCCAAATGTGAATTTTGGACTTTATTCCTGTTATATGTGTAGCAGCGCGTGGAGTCAGATGACATCCTAACCTTGTCAGCTTGTCAGCTTGCCGGGTGTAAAAGATAATCCTTGTTGCAAACTTCTAGTTTCAAGGAAGACTGAAGAAAAGAAGCCTTGGTTGTAATTCGTATCCTCCTGTTCCCACATGGTACACTTGTCCAATAGCTTCTAAATGGCCAAAGTGACTGCTGCTGGTTTGGGACCTTCCAGAAAGGATCGATGGCCAATGAGATTGGTTTTTCATGGAAGCGAGGCTTGTATCCTTCCAGAACCACTTGTAGAATCCAGCAGTTTGAAGTGATGTACTTCTAATCATAGTGCCTAGTATCCAACTGTCAGCTGTACAGTGGTGCTTGGAAGGACGTAGTTTAAAAGAAATAGAAGAGAGGATGACATAGTTGAGCTTTTGTTAATTATTAGACTGGAAATGCTTCTACGATAAGGTTAGGTTTCAACATCCTTTGAAATGATTCTGAGTTTCCAGCACATTTGAGTTCCTGTGGAATTGCATTGAGAATGCCCCATCATCCGATGGTAATTTTGATTTGTGTGTGGTTTGTCTTCAGACTGCAGGCTTAATGATGGTATGTAAGGATCAATCAGGTCTCTCAGGTGTCTTGGCTCACTCTCTCAAATAGCCCTGTAAGTGAGGAGTTTTAAACTTAAACTGCTGTAGAATTAGTAGCCAGTGCAGTTGAATGTTAGCTGCTCTTGAGATGCTTGTTGCTCTGATGGCATGGTCTTGCCGAAGATGACACAAAGATTCTTCTCTCTGTCAAATCAAGTGATGCTGAAATGTCCATCACTAAGTGGCATACCAACTTTTTCCAACAATTCCACGAAAGGAATTACCTGGTTCATAATACCATAAGGAGATAAACCTACTGTGAATCAACTGTTTAGTGTGACTACATCAAATTTCAAACACAGTATTTTATCTCCATTCTACCATAATGACAACAGCACTTTGAAGACTGTGCTCTCTTGCAACTTGTAACAACACAGGGTACAAAAGTCTGCTATCTTAGAGCTTTTCGAAAGGGGTCACAGGTAGTAATATGTGTCAAATATTACTAAAGTTCTACAATTTAAGATTAAAGATATCACGGCAATTTGACTCCAGCCCATGAATGGAGAGGCAAATGACGCCATGCTGGACTCACAACACACCACCCAACTAATACTTATGTGAGTAACAATTAACCAACTTACTGAAGATGACTTCCTAGTATAGTTGAATTACTATGTAAGAACAAACTAGAAAACATTGAAAACTAGCTATTCTACAGTGTGAAAACACTACCAAAGTGCTGGAAAAAAAAGGAAAGTTGATCCTCCCTTCTAGCATGCACATACTACGTAATGCATATTTCATAATGCTTTAATAAAGATTAGTCGTTGGTAAGCACTACTAAATCAGTTATCTCCCCTTGGGACTCTCACCACACCAACTCTAACCAGGAGAAACCGTATCTGCAGAGATGTACACTGAATTTCAATTGCATGGAGTTCCAGAAGGGTGAGTACCTACATGTACCTGAGCAAGATGCATGGTTCTGTAATGGACCTTTGCATGACATTGATGCATTTGAAAATGGCAAACTTGTTCTTATGTAAATGACTTTGATAAAGTTGTGACTATCACTCTACCTATAGTCTGGAAGTTAATTTAAGGTACCGACGTTTACTACAATATCTGAAAAACTATTGGACCTACTCCAGTCAAAGTTGGTATGAGATTTTTAAACAGTCATTCATAACTGGATATTACATTTAAAGACAATCGGTGCATGAATAAAAAATCTGTCTATTTAGCTATCACTATATTTCATCAACAACCAGATCTGTTCGTCACGGGTGGAATGAGCATTCATTGTAACAGCCATCTGCATAATGCTACCCCTGCGTCACAGGGCCATATGACACAGTTGAACCAATCAACTCCTTATCAGTCAGATTATAAGTCTTATACTTATAACTTATAAAACTAATTATTAATGGAAAATCATATATGGGAGGCCCTGCCAGGGTTTTGTCAAAGATATCAAAGTGTATCATGAATATTATGCAACACTGGTTTTTGTTTATATTCTTAGATCACATAACATCATTGTGCACTCAGATCCCTGCATTTTGTTTGATATAAATGTTTTGCTCCATGCCATGCTTTATGATCCAGAATGACAGTCAATGTTATAACCCTTCCAGGGTCTCACCAATCAATGTGGGCAAGTATAGCATATACTGTTTGCCTTCAAGTCACTATACTGCAAAAGTTCTTAAAAGACTTCTGTTGAAATGTTTCTTTAAGACTGTATGTTTTTATGGACAGTGGTCTGTAAATAATCGAGTCTGGAACAGAAAATTCAGTGATTGATGTCATGAGCATCCATCAACACAATTGGGATACGATGACATGCATTAACCAAGTCAGCGAGCTTGACCATCCAGTTCAGTTCGTAGCCCCTTACGACCAGCATAGGTTGCTGAAGGCATATTCTAACCCCGATCTTCATGTAGTGGAGCGGCTAAGCAGAGAAAATGTGCATTTAATGATAAAAGCATGAAACTTTGCACATTTATACACTGATGCCAAGGGAACATTTTCAGATATGGAGGCACTCAAAATAATTTCATTTTGCACATGCACAGTAGATAAAGAAAAAATTTCCTTTCATGGCTACTGTTTTAGCTTTGTAACTACCAAAATGCACTAAAGTGACGGTTTTATAAAACAAAATACTGATCCACATACTGGTTAAATGTGTTGAAAATACAAAAGTCATTTTTACAAAAACTGGCCCTCGCACCAACAAAGTCCTTTGTATTTAAGCGAGGACTGTTTGCACTTGCATTGGTTGTTACACTGAACGATGTTGATTTTGGAGTCCAGCCAAGCAAGTCAGGTGATATTTTGCATTTATTGCAATGAGGTCACCACCCTCAATTTTGGACAATGACTCAGTCTCTTGCAGGTGTGTGGCCATAAGAGTCAGATTTTCTACAAAATATACAGGTGTTCTTGTCAAGAGACTGTTGTTTCTTGGCTTAGCACTTCTCTCAGGAGTTCCAGCTCTCTCCCTCTTTCGTGCTCTTTGCAGTTTGTTCACATTGAATTTTGTGTGACAAGATTTATGCCACTGTGCTTGATGCCTGATGAACTTGTCCACATCAATGTCCTTTCCAAAAGTGAAGGGGACTGGCAATTTAT